TGCGCACAAATTAACTAATTATTTAAATAAAAACTGTTGGCATTGTCGTGATCTTCAACTCAGTGTAGAGCAAAAACCGATAGTTGTCTGACACGCTTTCTACACAACACGATACAAAACTTGCAAATAATATTATGGCACGATGTTCATATATACGTTTGCAAAATTTTGAATATCTATTTCGCTGGATTTTCTTTTGCTTTTTGTTTTTATTTTCTCATCAATTAGAAATAATAAAAAACAATACTTAAACAGCAGTACCTCTCAAAGTTTTCCTAAGAAGGAGATTTTGAAGACAAATAAGCCGAGTGGACTACAAAACCAAAGGAAACAAACTTGGTGGAGAAAAACGGTAGGAGATAATCGCGTAGCTGAAAGTTAACTTTTGCTTGTGTGTTAATCTATTTTTGCCAAGCGGCTGGAACGAGAAACGAAAGCTAAATTTTTCGTACGTAATTATCCCCTAGGTTTAGCCGCAATTTCTATTGGAAGATAGCGTCATGGTCATCGTTATTTTTCAAACATAAAAATTTTTGTATTTCATTATAATGGATTGAATGAAATTAAAGCTACTGCAAAATTTTACTCCATAATCACAACATGGCACAACTTGACTTGATTTATACTATTTGAAAGCCTAGTGTAACACGGTTTCGATTCGACACAACGCGGTGCCCTTTCATATTATATATTTCGCACACCACAGTTTAGATACAGAGCGGTACGAATTAATCGTGCTACACGAAGGACGCCTGTGCAATATCACAATGTGCTAATGAATCCCAAGTGTCAGCAGACAAACTTTTCAATTTCAATCAAGAAAAAAGAAAAAATGCATCTAAAATTGGCCAAAGTCTATTTAGATAGCGTGCCGAGTGCGTGGAACGCAGAGAGAAAAGTGCGACATGTGGCCGACTGTACGGACAAGCAAAGAGGTAAAAGAATGAACTGATAAGAAACGGAAAGAGCGTGCACAAAAAGAAACGCAGTTGTCATTGCTATTAAAGACCAATAGACATTTTATATCTGTCTCTCGTCGTTTTATATTTGGAAATTCAAATCCTCTCATTACGAATTTAAACTCTTTAGACGCATTGTTGCGATCAAAACTGCGGCGACAAGAAAATTGAACTAACTCTTATCAGAAATAACATAGGATAAGAAAGGAGTAACATAAATGTATTTCTTTGTAATGCAAAGAGAATCAAGTTAAAATTTACAAAAGGCTTATAAGTTCAAACTCAAAAGAAGAGCGGTGCCGCGTTTAATCCAGTAATCTGCTTTTTCTGTACCAGCCTTTAAATCCACCGCAATAACGTAAGAACCCGCGCGCTGTGGATAATAATAAGAAGGGCAAGCATATACGCCGCGTGCACGTTTCTTTAGTTGTTCGACTGGCCTGAAGTGTATCACTGGCATGGGTGTGACCAGCTCCATAGGTGAGGGATCGCAAAGACATTGACCTTTTCGTAGCCATCCAGCTCCCTCCAAATACAAACTGCGCACATATACACCACCACCTTCGCGCACAATACGTGCAGCGGCAGCATCTTCCTCAACAAATACATAAAAATCCCAGCCTAGTTCATCAATAGGTGTGCGCGTCGTTCTAGCGGAAGTTTGCAACACCGCCGTTATAAATCCGGTCGGGAAAGTGTAAGCGGCCAACCAGAACAATGTCGGTGGACGTAAGGTTCTGGCCCACTGAGCAAAATGTTCTATGCGGAATACTAAATCACGAGACCATGCAGCTAAAGGCTTTTCAGAGGCATAAGCTGTAAGGCAACGCCTCTTTTAATTACAAAATTACACATCAGAAATATTAATAATAAATGTTTTTACCTTTAAGCCAAGCGAGTGGAACCCGCCCGTCAAAGATTGACTGATAAATGTCTTCCAGTTCAGTGCTCATCACAACAAGACCTTTTATACCTCTTTGTACGTCAAGCAAATGGCGTTTCATTCTACGCAAGAGATCGTTATAACGTTCAATTTCTTGCAAGAGAACCACTTCAAGCGGCATGCGATTTAAACCGATCAGTTTGGCCGTTTGTTCGTAATTCAGTTCATCCGGGGTGCTAAGAAATATGTCATTGGCCAATTTCAAAACCTTACTTTCTTTACTCTCGCCCGCTGAGGTCGCAGTTTGCACTTGCATGGAAACTAAAGTTTCGAAAAGCAAACGTGTTTCACCAATCAAGGACGCAATATCCGCATTTGGATGTTGGCCAAATGCTTCCGGTTTGTCAAAATTCGGAAATTGTTGTATTTGATCTAAATACGATTGTAGATCCCCTTCGAGCGGTATAAAATAATTAGGAAGAGAAGACAAACTGTAATGGAATGGGAAAATATATAATCAATTCGAAAATGCCAAATGGCCGTTTTTTTTAAACTAACCGATATTTGGAAATTTTTAAGGTGTCATCACAGTAGAATTGATTAATGTAAGTGGTTAGCAGGCGTCGATCCCAATCATCAGTTACGTGCCCGCCATAGTTCACGCCTGCTATTAAATATTTGAGAGCACCCCACGGCGTCTCGTCGTATTCATTCAAGTACAAAAGCAGCAAGCTTTCCGACACCTCAAAATCCGAATCATTAAAACTATAAACAACGTTCCACCCTAATTGAAGAAACTTCTTTCGCTCAAGTAATATAGTGTGAAAGAAGCAAAGAGCAAAGAGCAACTTTTTATATTTGGGAGCATCCGTGGCGAGATCGAAATTTACTTCATTGACATTGTTATATAAACGCTTCATGTTTGCCTTTATCCCACGTGGAGGTTCTGTAGTCATTTTAATACCAGTTTGTAAAATGGAAATAGGAAAGTCTGGATGAGGGCTTGAGCTGTTGTTCGTTCGGTAGTGTGTGGGCATCAGGTACAAATTGGTTACATCATTAATTATTATAAGTTGACGTCATCCATTTTGGCATTCATTAATTGAAAAAAAGGGAAAGGGTAGCATGCGCGTCTAAAATATAAAATTTAAATAACTTCTTGTTTACGCACCTGAGCCACAGACGAAAACGTTTGTGCAACTTCATTGTTTGCATAGTAGCAATAATTTTATCTAAGGTCGGCATCCAGCTGAGTGATAAATGGCAGTTGGCCAAAAAGACCCAGTTGCCGTCGCGTATACCATCCATAATCATTTTTGTAGCTACCGGCGCCTGGCCTTGGCCTAAACTTAAAGAAAACATACGCGAAGACATTTTAGTCTGCTCAGCTAAAGTTAGAAGAGACTGCGTAGGATCTACGCCTGGTGACAATACAAATATGAGTGGGGTCTGAGCGATGGATTCTTCGAAAGTAACTTTCAAATCGAGAACGGGTGGTTCCACATAACGAGGTCCCAAAGCGTTTATAATGAACTGCGTGAGACAAAAAGAAACGCGATCCGCCCTCAAACAACGTACAACACATATTTTTTGAAAATCTGTGAGTTTATCATTCCACTCTCCCACCAAATCCTCTGTTTCGGGTGTTGTGGTGGCGTACCAAACTAAAAAGGAATTTAATTAGTGAATTGTTTGCAAGCTTTTCGGACTAAATATTTACCATGCCAAGCTTTGGCGGTAGATTCAAATGAGTCAATAATCCCATGGAAACCTGGAACTTTGTCAAGTTCTGTGATATTATCCCAGGATTGTTCATTTATCCAACCTTCAAATCAAAAGTTATGTATACAAATTAAACAATTAAACAATAGACCGATCTAACCTGGTGATGGGTTCGGTGGTTGACCTTGCTTATCCACTACAATGCCGCCTTTCAAAATAAAATTGTACTCTTCTTCTACTAAACGACCAGCATTAGATAATATCTGCGCAGTCATGTGTATGGAGAAGAGTAGTTTATGCTTTTCGAATAAGCCGCGACAAGTATTTTTGTACATAGCGTAGGTGTGATAGTCATTTATGTTGCGAATACGTTCAGCAACAATTTGATGTTTTGGGCTTCGCTCTATAGATTGTGTGAACAGCAAAATGTAGGCGGCCAAGGAAAATACGTACATGGGGTCAATCTTAGACATATCCATAAGTACGAAGAATAGAATCGAAGCTCTTTCAGCTGCTGGTTGATATTCTTGACGTGCCATATCTATTTCAACTTCCGTTACCTCCGCATTGCTCAGCGATTCTTTGACCAATATCGAAGTTTGTCGTGACTTCTGCAGAGTAGCAAACAACTCGTCATCCTCTAGCAGAGATCCTCGACTCTCATTAAGCAAACGTAAAATTTCATTATCCAAATCAATAAGAGTACGCTTATTTCTCGCTATAGTCAAAACTAGCTCATCCTTTTGTTCTTCCAAAGAGGGCTTCTCCTTTCGGACTATAATACCCAAAAGTTGAGCTTGCAGACCATCCTGTTTCAAAGCAAAATTAACAATGGTAGTCTTCGATGATACCTCCGGTGGATAATGCGGGTTCGTCATTTTCGTTGTTATGTACAAACGGAAATTTTCATTAAAACTGAGATATTTATCATTGAATTTAATTAACTTCTGGCCTCCCTGCAATGTATAACTTTTACGTAATATAGGGTTAATGGCCTGATCGATAACTTCCCCAACATTTTGCAATAAAACAGGATTTCCATTCATTAGAGCACCTTCTAGGGTGCGTAAATAGTCAGGTTGTGTGAAATCAATAATTTTTAAATCGTTTTTTTCTTCATTATTTTTCACCCATGTATTGGCTTGCATCTGAGGATCAATAATCAAAGGCCAACGACTGCTTTCCATTACAATGACACCATTTTCAGTGCTAAAATCGTCAGCCGGTAGTCCTTGGATGTTCCACTCACGTATAGTTACTGCATCAGACAAAAATGTAGTGAGTTTCAATTCATCAGTTGCGGGAACAGCTTTGTCTTTAATTAGATTAATCCACTCTTGTAATAACAATTCACGATATTTTGTATCGAAAGGCCCCAAGTATGACATGAAAGCTGTGGCAAGCAAACAATCTCCGGGTAGTTTCAGAAATCTAGCATCTAGGGCAGCAACTGTATCAATCCAACGTTCTCGTTCTCCCGATAATGATTCGACCAGTATTATAGCTCTTTCTAATTGCTTACGAAGTTTCTCTTCTCTCAACCTTAGCTCGTTTAATAGTTCAGTTTTCTCATTCAGTTGCTTATATAACTCCGCAAGTCGAGCATTCAATTCGTCCAATTTTGCTTTGGCTGCAGCCAGAAGAGCTTGCTTCTCGGCTAGCGAGCGCATTGCATTATCTAACCTCTCTTGCTTTGGAGCCACAATACGGTATACTTTTGCATAGTTTTCAATGGCCATTACCCATAACATCAGAGATTTGCAAGCCACCGACACAATACCCACTTTATCTGGTTCCAATTCCGGGTTCTTAGTATATATGGCAATGCGTTTCAACGTTTTTTCAGGAATATGATCTCGATCAAAATTTTTTAGATCATTCAAAAAGGTTGTTTCGCCCAGTACTTTTTTAGCGTTTTCCCATGTTGGTTCTTTACCTAGCAGAATCATTACTGCTTCCATCACCTTTTCGATCTTCATCGGTGGTCTACCGTAAGATTTCACTTCGGACACATCCTTTTTGTTTAAGGCATCCAAGGCTTTCACAGCAGCATCAATCATCGGCAGCACAACCTCTAAATCAGCTCGAGCTGTGGCCGCCAAGTCTAAGCAAACCACTTCTTCACGCTTTATTATAACTGCCTCAGCATCTACTTTGTCCTTCGCGTCGGTAGCTTCAGCCTTTTGAACCTCTATAACGGCAATAAAGTCCTCACATTCTGTTGCTAATACCTTCACCTGTTCAGAACTGATTTTCAATTCTTCAGACATTTCACTCACTTTCTCTTGAGTTTCAGCAATTTTGGACAAACCATTACGCAACTTGTTAGCGGCAGAAGAAACTTCGAAGCGCTTATTTTCTAATAGTTCTTTGAAGCCACTTACAAGTTGTAAGTAATTTAAAGACGTAACATAGTTACGCCGTTTGACTTCCAAAAACATAATATTTGACATTTCTCTTACAGATGAGTGGATCACGGAGAAAATATATGCTACGTCACGTTGCAATATATCCTCTTTGCTCTCTATTAAAGTTTCGCGTGTCTTCTCTATTTCTTTACCCGGTACTGGCACATCTATTTTGAATTCGGCCAGAAATGTTGCGGCAACTTCTAATAGGGCTTCCTGAGGCCACATTCTAAACCAGTTTGGTGTTGTGTTGTTAATTAGTGCTGGGTATTGTCGTATATATGATCGGAACTCTTCCCCTATCGGGCTGATACATAACGCAAGATGCATATTATCCCGTACATTTTTCATGAAGAAATTATACAAAGCTTCTGTCGTCAATTGTACACCAGCCTTTTTAGCCGGCCGCTCTAGTTCAGTTTTCAGCTCTTCAAATTCATCAGATTTAAACAAATTAATTTCACCAGTGCTTAACATGTTATTAATTATTTCTAAAAAGGTACTTTCCACCACTTGTTCTCCACTAAAAATGAAGATAGTCGGTCGCTGTTTAACACCTGTGGTTTTATACAAATTTTTCAAGTCCTTCTTAAAATCAGGTGTCTTGTACTTTTTGGTAACTTCAATTCGAAATACACCCATTTCCAAGATGAAAGCGGCCAATTTCACTATCACCTGTCTTCCCGAACCGCCTATGCCAATGTTCAGCATATGGCCCCTGGGTTGTGATATTACTCTCAGAATACGAGCAACGTGTTCAATGGCCTCTTTGAAGAAAACCAAGCTCATACGCGCCATGCCTGGGAAGTTATTATACTCCACCATTTGCTTGTTTATATATACACGCAACTTTGCGAAATCTAAATCCTCATAGTATCCTTGCATACTCATGAAATCTCCGAATATCGGGGATACTTTATTGGGGCACAAACTGTGGAAGGTTATTTCCATATAACGACCTAGAATGTCATTCATTTCATTCAAAAACCATCCCAGGTCAAAAAGCCGCAATTCTTAAGACTGTGGATACATGAATG